GAGCTCTGGCGTGGGCTGGTCCATGAGGTCACGAAGAGTCGGAGACGACTGAACGAATGAACAACAATTAGACATGGTTAGGTTCGGTCGGAATCTTCGTAATTCGGAATGAATTCGGAAAGATTTACTCATTGGCCTGATAGGTTTATTGTGTCAAATTTGGTGTCAATTGGTCCAGTGGTTTTTGAGTTATGTTAATCCCACAAACAAACATGACATTTTTATTTATATAGACTAGCCATCCTCTGCCATGCGTTGCTGTGACCCGTTCTATGTATATGTGTTTTGTTTGTGTATACATGTATATATGTGTGTATATATTTGTGTTTGCATATATATATGGTTTTGCACATGCGTTGTAATGTATTTTGGGGGGGGGGGTTGGCTTTTTAAGTCCCTTCTGCTGTGTTTTTCAGTGTTTTTATGAGTGATGGTCACTCGTTGGCCTGAGAGGTATCTTGTGTGCAAATTTGGTGTCAATTCGTCCAGTGGTTTTTGAGTTATGTTAATCCCACAAACGAACATGACATTTTATTGATATAGATACTAGCTCTCCCCTGCCACATGTTGCTGTGGCCCATTCTATGTATATGTGTTTTGCTTGTGTATACATGTGTATATGTGTGTATATAATAGTGTATATATTTGTGTTTGCATATATATATGGTTTTGCACATGCGTTGTAATGTATTTTGGGGTTTTTTGGCTTTTAAAGTCCCTTCTGATGTGTTTTTCAGTGTTTTTATGCGTGATGGTCACTTGTTGGCCTGAGAGGTGTCTTGTGTCCAAATTTGGTGTCAATTCATCCAGTGGTTTTTGAGTTCCGTTAATCCCGCAAACAAACATTACATTTTTATTTATATAGACTAGCCGTCCCCTGCCATGTGTAGCTATGGCCCAGTCCGTTTGTGTGTTTTGTGTATTTATATATGTGTATATGTGTGTATTAGGGCTGGGCGGTTTCATTTCGTTAATTCGTAATTCGTTAATAATTCGTTAATTTTTTCAATTACAAAACGATAACAAACCATTCTGGAGCAATTACTAAAAAAACGAATTTTCAAAAACGTTTTGTAAATGCTTCGTATTTCGATATTGTATTCGTTTCGTTATTGTTTTGAGGTCGTTTCGTTATTATTTCCGCATGTCTGGGCCAGTTTTATAGGTTTAATTAGTGAAAAAAAATTATAATATCACACCAACAGTCAACAACAGAGGGAGAGGGAAGCTTCAGAAGTTCCCCCTGTCCCATTTGGAGGCTTTTTAGCGTATTGCGCGGTCGCGTCCGCCATTAACGAATCGATTCGTTATTGTTTCGGAAATCGATTCGTTAATTTTTTACCATTTACGAAATTTCGTAAATATCGAACTTTTTAAAAGGAAAATTTTGTAAATATTTTAAATATCGAAACAAAAAAACCCCCCAAATACAAATCGATTTTAGAAACAAATTTTTCCGTTGTTACCCAGGCCTAGTTATTATGTATTTATGTATATGTGTATTTATGTGGTTATGCGCATGCATTGTAATGTTTGTTTGTTTGTTTTGTTGGCTTTTTAAGTCTCTTCCGCTTTGTTTTTCAGTGTTGTTATGAGTGACTGTGGCCAAACCTTCCCTCCCTCATTCTTTCCTTTCTTTCTCCCCTTCCTTCCCTCTTTTTCCTTTTCCTTCTACTTTCCCTTTTTCTTTCTTCCTTCTCTACCTGTTTCTTTCCTCCTTTCCTTTGCTCTTTTCCATCCTTCCTTCTCTCTTTCCTTCCTTCCTTCCCTCCCTCTTTCTCTCTTTCATTCCTTCTCTCCTTCCTTCCCTCTCTCTTTCCTTCCTTCTTTCACTTTTTATTTCCTTCTCTCCTTCTCCTTCTTTCCCTCTTTCTATCCCTTCTTCTCTCCTTCCTTTCTTTCCCCCTTTCTGTGTATATGTGTTTTGTGTGTATATATATATATATATATATGCATATATATGTGTGTATATATTTGTGTATATGTGTGTTTGTGTATATATGTGGTTTTGCGCATGCGTTGTAATGTTTTTTTTGCTTTTAAGTCTCTTCTGCTGTGTTTTTCAGTGTTTTTATGAGTGATGGTCACTTGTTGGCCTGAGAGGTGTCTTGTGTCCAAATTTGGTGTCAATTCGTCCAGTGGTTTTTGAGTTCTGTTAATCCTACAAACGAACATTACATTTTTATATATATAGATGAAATGCAAACAGTGCCCAAGGTGCAAACATCAAACTTACAGATGGTCCATAGTTAAGAACAGAGCTAAGACAAGAGGAAGTGAGAGAAATCTACTCCTCGGAAGGGAAATTCGCTCCTGGAAGAGTTTTCATTGGGAAAGGGGTCTCCACTGAAGCTTTATCACCAATCCTTGTTTCCACAACAGCACAAATCTTTCTAAATCCAATCATCATAAGGATAGAAAGTGAAGTAAAATCTTCTGAACAGACAGCAAAGAAAATACCACAAGTGTGTTCATCCCTATGCAATCCAAAGTACGCATATATGTGTGTGTGTTTGTGTGTCTGTGTGTAGCTGGAGTGTGGACTCAAACAAGGATGGATCTGGACAAAACTTGGAAAAATACTCAATGTTCCCAAATGTGGTGGAGTTTGGGGAAAAACAGACCTTGACATTCAGGAGTTGTAGTTGCTGGGATTTATAGTTCATTTACAATTAGAGAGCATTCTGAACCCCATCAACGATAGAATTGGGCCAAACTTCCCACACAGAACTCCCATGACCAACAGAAAATACTGTGTTTTCTGATGGTCTTTGGCAACCCCTCTGACACCCCCTTGCGACCCCTCCAGTTGTCCCAACTCCCAGGTTGAGAAACACTGCTCTAGAAAGTCTTCCAAAACTTTGCAATTTTCAAAAACTATTCCCAGTCCATTACTAAGGTGCATCTACACTGTAGGATGAATGCAGTATTTCCCCACTTGAACTGCCAGGGCTCGATAGTATGGAATCTTGAGAGCTGTAGTTTTACAAGGTCTTTGGCCTCACCAAGCTACAATTCCCAGGATCCCATAAGTCTGAACTCTCCTTTATTGAAGTGTTTTACAGAGAGCTTAGATGGCTGCTTGCTAAGAGTGTTGTCGTGGTAGATTCTTTCCCTGCCAGGGGCTGGTCTAGATGTTCTTTGGGGCTCCTTCTAATTCTAAGGAATGCCTTGCTTCTTTTTCCAGGCACAAGGCCAGGCTCCGGACATGTTCTTCTGCCTCCGGCTTCTGGAGGAGACTGGGATCTGCGTCCTTCCTGGGAGCTGCTTTGGACAGAAAGAAGGGACCTTCCACTTCAGGTACAGGTCCATTTTGAGGTGGCCACCTTGGAATACAACAAACAGAGGTTTTGATTACAGCTATTAGGCATGATTAGGTTCAGTCAGAATCTTCATAATCTATATATATAAAAATGAAAAGGGCGTCCAACAGGACAGCAAAACTCAAAAAAACCCCGACGAAAATTTACCAAAATTCCCATGCACATACCTCACCCCACAAGGTATGCACAAATCACATCAAAAAAGCAAACAACATTTCACCAAACCCACAATTTCAAAGACAAAGGGAGCATGCGCAGAAGCGCCCTGGCGTGAGTCCCCCGCTGCGCGCACATTGCCGGCCAACGCTCCCTCACTGGAAACCACGCCCCCTCCCTTCGCCGCCCCGCCCCTACCCGCCCTGACTCAATTCTTTCCCTCCTCCACCTCCTCCTCCGCCACCGACCACGCCCCCTCCATGGAACCCACGCCCCTTCCCTTCGCCGCCCTGCCCTTTCCTGCCCTGACTCAATCCTCCCCCTCGCCCCCCCCCGTGCAACCCACGCCCCTCCCTCCCCCGCCCCGCCCCTTCCCGCCCTGACTCAATCCTGGAAGAAGAGAAAGAAAGAGAAAGAGGGGGAAGGAAGGACAGACAAAAGGAAGAATGGAAACAAAAGCCAAAGGAAGGAAGAAAGGAAAGAGGCAGAGAAGGAAGAAAGAGAAAGGGAAGGAAAAGAAAAAAGGAAGAAGGAAAGAGGAAGGGAAGGAAGGAAGGAGAGAAGGAAAGAAAAGGAAGGAAAGAGGAGCAAAGGAAGAAGAGAAAGAAAGAGAAAGAGGGGGGAAGGAAGGAAAGACAAAAGGAAGAATGGAAACAAAAACCACAGGAAGGAAGGAAGGAAAGAGGCAGAGAAGGAAGAAAGAGAAAGGGAAGGAAAAGAAAAAAGGAAGAAGGAAAGAGGAAGAGAAGGAAGGAGAGAAGGAAAGAAAAAAAGGGAATGAGGGAAAGGAGAGAAAGAGGGAGGTAAGGTGGGCCACAGCAACGCGTGGCAGGGAAAGCTAGTTCGGAATAAATTCGGAAATATTTACTTTTTGAAGCGATTTCAAAGTTTTTAAGGAAACTGGAAGACCCTTTGCCCTTCCGAAGCTTTTTCCGCCATTTCTGTTACGAAGCAGTAAGTGAGTCGGAAATGATTCAGTGTTTCCCCGCTTCTGGTCCCTGGCCACGGCTCAAGCCAGAGAAGCCGTTTTAAACCAGAGTGGATGAATTTCCTCCCTCTCCTCTCCCCTTGCTTCTGTCTGGAGCCTGGGAAGTGTTTTAAACCAGAATGGATGAATTTCCTTCCTTTGCTTCCCCCCTCCCCTCCCCCGCTTCTGAAGTAAAATAACTACTTTCAAAGTAAAGACCGCCCAATGAAACAGGAAATAACACTTTCAAACCATTAAGGAAGGATTCGGAAATCTCGGAAGTTTCAAAAAGTTTTGAACATTTTTTTGGTGAAAATCGGAATTGACTTTAGAATCGAATCACCAACACCCCCTACATCTGAAACGAGTATTGAACCAGTTATTTATCAAACAAGGCTAATGGCTATATTGGTTACACAGACAAAAGGGAAACATCATATATACTCGGCATTCACTCACATACATTCAACATTCATACTCACCAACCTCCTCCATTGAATCCTGCTGCTTGAAGAAGAGAGGCGGGTGTTCATTCTGTCTGCATCCCTTGCAGATCTGCCACACCATTGAAAAGGAAAAAGGTCTCCTTATGTAGTGATTTGGTTACCCATTATTTGGTTGTTTAGATAACCTCTTCATTCAGCTCAGACTTGCTGGAGCCTCATGAATCCCAGAACAGATGTTGTTTAAGCTTCTTTCTTACGGTAACATTGGGTTTGACTATATAAACAGGTTCTTGGGTCAGTTACCTGGATGTCTCATTAGCCACAGCCACAACAAAGCAACTTTTAATGCCTTGGTTAATAAAATTCTTCACCTCCGTTGTTCTCCATAACCCAGTTTTCCATTTTAGGATGTTGTCTTCAGCCTTGCCAGACCTTAATAGGACCTATCCAGACCTGGATCATACAATTTCATTCAATCCATTCGTCACACAGCTGAATGAGACCCAGAAAATGGCCCCAAACTTCCAGGAGAACCAAATTTCCCCCATATCTCCCTCCATAAAGGAGGCCACAGGGATATTTTAGGGCCTTTTTTGGACGCCTGGCCAGCATGCACATTTTTGGAATCGTAGCCCAATGTTGTCTTCTCTTGGAAAGTCAATTTGCATATTTGGCTATATATAACAGTCCTTGGAAATGTCCACCAGAGTCTCAGAAGGTTCTGGTGCAGAGATTTTTGGAAGTTGTAGTCCAAAAATGGAACTTTCTGAGATTTCAATAAACATTTCCCAGGACTCAGCAGTCATGCAACTTGTTCTTTCAGGAGACAACGACGTTGGTCTACAACTCCCAGAATATACAGCAATATATAGCAGAGGGCTTCTTGAGAGTTTTAGTCTAAAAATGAAACTTTCCTAGACTTTGGTGGACAACTATACGAAAAGAGCGATTGTGCAAATTGGTTTTCCTTTGCTTTTTATTTATTTTATTTATTTATTTATTTCTTGTACTTATTGACCGCCACTCTCAGCCCTAGGGGCGACTCGTGGCGGTGAACAACAACATAGAAAGACAATATACAAAAATCACGACAGTACATATCAAGACTACTACTACAACACATACTTATCCTAAAAATCCGCTTCGTCTAGTCCTAGGGTCATAGCCAAGTTCGTAGTCATAGTCCATTCTAAGTCGCCAATTGTTGCAGCACTTACTCAAAGGCCCTCTCAAACAGCCACGTCTTTAGACTCTTACGGAATGTCAAGAGGGAGGGCGCCGATCTGATGTCCACAGGGAGGGTGCTCCACAGCCGGGGGGCCACCACCGAGAAGGCCCTGTCTCTCGTCCCCGCCAGGCATGGCTGTGAGACAGGCGGGATCGAGAGAAAGGCCTCCCCGGATGATCTCAAAGTTCTCGTGGGCTCATAGGCCGAGATGCGGTCCGAAAAGTATTTTGGGCCGGAACCGTTTAGGTCTTTGTAGGATAACACCAGCACCTTAAATTGGGCCCGGTAGCAACAGGCAGCCAGTGGAGCTGGGACAACAAGGGCGTTGTATGCTCCCTGCGCCCTGCTCCCGTTAACAACATGGCTGCCGCGCGCTGGACTAGCTGAAGCTTCCGGGCCGTCTTCAAGGGCAGCCCCACGTAGAGAGCGTTGCAGTAGTCAAGTCGGGATGTGACCAAAGCGTGTACCACCGTGGCCAAGTCAGACTTCCCAAGATACGGGCGCAGCTGGCGCACGAGCCTAAGCTGTGCAAATGCTCCCCTGGTCACCGCTGAAACCTGGGGATCCAGGCTCAGCGATGAATCCAGGGTCACACCCAAGCTGCGAACCTGCGCCTTCAAGGGGAGTGCGACCCCGTCCAGCACAGGCTGTAACCCTATACCCTGCTCGGCCTTGCGACTGACCAGGAGTACCTCTGTCTTGTCTGGATTTAATTTCAGTTTGTTCGCCCCCATCCAGACCATTACAGCGGCCAGGCACCGGTTCAGGACTTCGACGGCCTCCTTAGTAGCAGGTGGAAAGGAGTGACAGAGTTGGACGTCATCTGCGTACAGATGACACCGCACCCCGAAACTCCGGATGATCTCACCCAGCGGCTTCATGTAGATATTAAACAGCATGGGAGACAGTATAGAACCCTGTGGAACCCCACAAGTCAAAGGCTGTGGCGTTGAACAGGAGTCCCCCAATAACACCTTCTGGGTACGACCCTCCAGAAATGACTGGAGCCACTGCAGAGCAGTGCCCCCAAGACCCATTTCCGCAAGACGCCCCAGAAGGATACCGTGGTCGACGGTATCGAAGGCTGCTGAGAGGTCCAGGAGCACCAACAGGGACACACTCCCCCTGTCTAGCTCCCGGCGCAGATCATCCACTAAGGCGACCAAGACCGTCTCAGTACCATGTCCCGGTCTGAAACCAGACTGTGCCGAATCCAGATAATCCGTGTCTCCCAAGAATACTTGGAGTTGTGAGGCCACCACGCGTTCCAGGACTTTGCCCAAGAAGGGGAGATTGGAAACTGGCCGAAAGTTGTCGAATTTAGTGGGGTCCAGTGATGGTTTTTTCAACAGCGGTTTTATTATAGCTTGTTTTAAGCTTGCTGGAATTCTGCCTTCCCGGAGGGAGGCGTTAACCACCACCTCAACCCACTCAGCCAATCCCCCTCTGGCCTCCTTCAGAAGCCAGGATGGGCAGGGGTCTAGGATGGACGTGGTGGGTCTCATTCCTCCAAGTATCTTGTCCACATCCTCGGGTTTCACAAACTGAAAAGAATCCAACAAAATCGGACAAGCAGGTGCTTGTGTCACATCCACAGAGACTGCATTTAATGTGGCGTCCAGCCCAGAGCGGATCAAAGCGACTTTGTCTGCGAAGAACCGAGCAAATGCTTCACAGCGCGTTGCCGAGTTGTCAGGGCTCCCACCTGAGGTAGGGGGAGTTAAAAGACCTCTGACAATCCGAAACAACTCCGCCGGACGGTTTTTTGCAGACGCAATAGTGGCCGCAAAGAAAGTCTTTGCGGCTTTTATTGCCGCGGCATATGCCCTTAGAAAGGACACAAACCGTGTTCGATTTGGCTCGCTCGGGTCCGAATGCCACACACTCTCTAATTCCCTCTTCCTTCGCTTCATCACTGCCAGCTCCTCAGTAAACCAAGGCGCTGGTTTAGCTCGGTTACTTGAGAGGGGACGTTCCGGAGCGATCGTGTCAATTGCCCTAGTCATCTCCCCATTCCAGAGAGTGACCAGGGCCTCGACAGGATCACCTACCGAGGCGGCGGGAAACTCCCCAAGAGCCATCAGGAATCCATCCGGATCCATAAGCCTCCTGGGGTGGACCAACTTAATGGGTCCTCCACCTCTGCAGAGGTTAGGGGGTGCAGTGAGCCTAAATCTGACCAGGAAGTGGTCGGTCCATGGCAACGGAGAGATGGACAACTCCTCCACACCGCCACCTGCTCCCATCCCTGGCAGAAAACCAAGTCCAATGTGTGTCCAGCACAGTGGGTGGGGCCAGTTATTTGTTGGGACAGCCCCATGGTTGCCATGGCAGACATGAAGTCCTGAGCCGCTCCTGAGAGGGTTGCCTCGGCATGGATGTTGAAGTCCCCCAGCACCAGAAGCCGTTGGGACTCCACCACCAGGCTCGAGACCACCCCCGCTAGCTCAGGCAGGGAGACTGTAGTGCAGCGAGGTGGACGGTACACTACAAGAATCCCTATTCTGTCCCGGTCACCCACCCTCAGGTGGACGCATTCAAAATTTGTGGTCTGCGGGATGGGACTCCTGGTCAGATGGATGGAATCTCTATAGACCACTGCGACACCGCCTCCCCGTCCTCCGGATCTCGGTTGGTGCTGTACGGAGAAACCTGGAGGACAAAGCTGGGTGAGATTCACACCCCCAGCTTCATCCAGCCAGGTCTCCGTAATGCACGCCAGATCTGCCCGCTCATCCAGGATTAAATCCTGGATAAAGGTCGTTTTTCCGTTGACAGATCTGGCGTTCAACAGCACCACCTTCAACCAGAGGGCCCGCTCATCTGGTTACACCAATTTACCTTAGGAGACCGGTTGGGGATTGTTAATATGGATAAGCGGTCCGAATTAGGCCGAATTCGAGGTCTCCTTTCCCCGCATCTCCTCCTTCCCACCACGACCTCTATGGGGCCCCTCGGCTAATGGAACACCTCCCCTCCTCCATGCCGCAGTCTATAGACAAGATCTTACTTTCTGCTTTGTTCGTTGTTTGACTTTCCAGTCCTTGCCAATATCCTTTCTTCCCCTCTACCCCCCTCCCCACCTCATTTTTATTTACAGGCTCCAGGCCGCCTCCTCTTCCGCCCCCACCGCTACACCCGAGCAGCAGAAACAATACACAAAGGGGGGCAGGGGACCACATTGGTAACAGCTACACAAATGACGGTCGAAATTCCGACGGCTTCACTAGGGCAGTTCTTAAAAGTGCGTAGATTTCAGGAGCAGTCTATCAGTGATCGTAACTGATCGTAATTAGTTAGCAGCAACACACATTCAAAGGCACATTAATAAAGTGCAAGGTCTAAAGTGCTCTACTCAACAATAATAAAGTGCGGCACGGAGGGACAAGGACGGGGCGAAAGTGCTGGTGCAATCCTGTCCTTCCCTGCAAACTTGGTCCTAAAGCAGCTTTGAATGCAGAAACCAAGAAAAAAGGGCAAACATGGGATAGCCAAAAGACTTCCCCTGAAGATAATAGATTTGGGCAGGTTTGTGTGGCACAATGTGGCCCATCTAGACCCCTAACCCTCTCTTTACCTGCTTTCTCTCGCTCCCAGAATGACCATCTTGCCTCCGATGGAAAAACTGGAGGTCGTCTTGCAGAAGCTGTGCCAATTCCACGCCAAGTTCACTCAGGAATATTCACAGCCCCAGGACCAAAATGAGGCACCGAGGACAGCCAAGAAGGCCGGCCAGTAGTGGCCCAACAGTGTTGGCATGGGAGTTTGGACCCGAACTCTGTGCCCGAGTCATCTCTCACCTTTAAAGATTCTCGCAGGAGGCATGTGCCTGTTGGCTGGACATTTGACCCAGAAAGGCACTGCCAGGACCAGCTCCATCATCCACTTCTGAGCTCCATTGTCCACTTCTCATGGGGACCCTTTTGGCCACAGCAGAGGCCGTTGCCTGCCCCGGTGTCCACAGAACAATCCATCCATCTTTCCTCCTATTCCTCCCTGGTTATCTCTCTATCCCATTTAGAGGTTCAAGATGGGGACACATGGCAATGGCTCTGTGTGTCTGTCTATATATGTTGAGTGTCTATGGCATCGAATGTTTGCCATGTATGTGTGCATTGTGAACTGTGACGGCGCGAGTGGTGCCACCTATATGTAGAACTGTAAGTTGCAGGATTTGAACTGTTGTATCATGCCTGATTTTGCCTTTTTACCCTGTAAATGTATAGTTGGATTGATTGGTTATTTATAGCTGTCAATCAATGTTGTTTGCACCAGTTGAATTGCTCCTCCTGCTCAATTGTTTGACCCCACCTCTTCCTAGAGAGCAGGACAGTGTTTCCTTTTCCATTCCATCAAACTTTCTATCAGATGGACGTGAGAGAGAGACTTGGCTCTGAAGCCCTTGATTAAGTTACCTCTCAGCACCAATTCTGAGGTTCTTACCCTTGAGACTTATGCTTCATGTTCAGACCAACCTGAACGACGTTGGGAAGTCTCAAGTGCCTTCAAACCAGTTCTTTTGGCACCAGAGGAAGACCCTGTGTCTTCAAACATAGGCCATTTGGACTGGGGTTGTGGATTGCTCCGGCATTCACAGCCATTGAGAAAGAGGGACCTGGAAAAGCTTTTAGCTGCAAAACTCCTTGAACCCAAGACAACCAGAGACTGTAATGTATATTTTCCTTTACCCCTTTCCAGCTTATTGCCTTAAAGGGATAACTCTTTGTGAACAATAAAACCTATTTTGAGTTATCTACAGTGTTTTGGTTCTTGGAAGTTCCAGTTTTCCTAAAGGAGGCAAGAAGCAATCCCCTGGGGAAAGATGTCACTAAGACATCTTAGTGCGCGACGGCACATGAACCGCCCTGAGTCCCCTGTGGGGTGAGAAGGGCAGAATATACTGTAAGTAAGTAAATAAATAAATAATAAATTCTTGGGTTTTCTCACATGAAGAGTTGCATTATTATTATTTTTTAAGACTGGGCCAGGGGGTGAATATGTTTTAATAGATTTAATGTTTTTAATGGTTTCAGTGTTCAATCTCTCTCTTTATATGTATATATGTATATAAATGTAATGCTCATTTGTGGAATTAACATAACTCAAAAACCACTAGACAAATTGCCGCCAAATTTGGCCACAAGGCACCTACTAACCCAAGGAGTGACCATCACTCAAAAACAAAATTAATTTTGTCATTTGTGAGTTGTAGTTGCTGGGTTTTATAGTTCACCTAAAATCAAAGAGCCTTCTGAACTTCACCAATGATGGAATTGAACCCATCTTGGCACAGAGAACTCCAATGACAAACAGAGAATACTGGAAGGGTTTGGTGGGCATTGACCTTGAGTTTGGGAGTTGTAGTTCACCTACATCCAGAGAACACTGTGGACTCAAACAATGATGGATCTGGACTAAACTTGGCACGAGTACTCCATATGCCCAAATATGAACATAGATGGAGTTTGGGGAAAATAGACCTCGACATTTGGGAGTTGTAGTTACTGGGATTTATGGTTCACCTACAATCAAAGAGCATTCTGAATCCCATGATCCAGAGAATTGGGGCAAACTTCCCACACAGAACCCCCATGACCAAAAGAAAATACTAAAGGTCATCCAGTCCAACTCCCTTCACCAGGGCAAGAAAACATCATCAAAGCCCTCCTGACAAAGAGCCATCCATCCATAGATATAGATAGATAGGATTCACACACAGAGAGATATAGTCTCATAGATTTGAAAGGGACCCTTAAAGAAGGAAAATAATATGTTGCATGTTCTCCAGAGTAGGCAAACCAGACAATCTCCACATCAACACTGGCAAAGAAACAGCAAGAAATACTGTTTACCCACAAGCATCAAGACATTACATAGATTAGAAACCAACGCTTTTTCATTACTTTATTTTCCAGATTACCAGACTGGGCCACAGCAACGCCTGGCAGGGGATTGCTAGTCTTATTTAAATGTTTGTATGCTAAACAGACTGGTTTCGTTGTGACTCAGCTGGAACCACAGAGTGTCTCTGATGAGGATGATGGGACCCAGGTTCAAATGTCCCTGTTGTTGCAACTCAGAGTAAGCTTCACCTAGCTTCCAAAGACCACTACACAAGAGCTGTAGTTTTATAGTTTATTGAGGAAAAAATCCAAGTCAAAATAAAGAATAAGCATTGCAAAGTTCCAAAGATTTAGGTTAAATGCAGAATGTAGTTCCAAAGATCTTCAGGTAAAAACAAAAGGCACAATCCTATAGGCAAAGTTCAAAACAGAGTCCATGGTACAAGCAGTGAAACATTTGCCTCAAGAATCACAATGCAAGAAATCCAAAGCGTGCTGCTTTCTGGGCAAGATTATTCCATGAAGCTTCCAGGCTAACAAGCTACGTTGAACTGACACTTTCCCTTCATTCAAAAGAAGCCTAAATACCTTTTGCTAACATGAAAACATTATGCTCTCGCCAACATGAATGCATTGCGATGACCTTTCCCCGAGCTGGTTTCTCATCTGGTGGCTAGGTGTGAACTCCTCCTGACTCACAAATCAAGGTGTGCTTGCCGGGTTAGGTCACTATCAAGGCTTTCTGCACTTTCACTATCAGCGTGGGCAGGCAAAGGCCTCTCCACCTGTTCGCTATCTAATTCGTTAGCATTCCTTTCTTCTGAGAACCGCTTTGTTGACTCTGCACTGTCTGTGGGAGCCTCAGAAAAAGACCTAGGAGCAGGCCCAGGAATCTGAGGCACAGAAAAAGAGCCAGGAATCTGAATCCCATCATCCTCATCATCAGAGAACATTTCAGGCCCAGAATCATGCTGAACCACATCACTTGTTATAGACAGTGAAGAAGTGCAGTTTCCCACAGCAAGGAATGAGAGTGTTGACACTGAAAATAGCCAGGTGCAGGTGCAGATTGACTCAGAGAAGGAGGACAGTTCTCAATCTGATAATGAGCAGGAAGGCAAACTGGATAGCACTAATGAACAGACTGACCTTGACGAAATGGGAGCCTTAGATCAGGCTGACCGTTTGGAATTCAGAGTTCGAAGGAGTGTGAGAATAGCTAACAAGAAGGAGGCCAGAGGCCAAAGAAACGCCTTCATGTTTTGCAAAGGGTATTAAGCAGGGTGTTTGAGACCAAACCTTTGTCAGAGCAACTTTTCATTTAACCAAGACGTTTGTCTGTACTATTTTGCAGTTCTTGTGCCATGTTTCCAGAACTTTGTCATGTTCTCTTGGGTTTTGCTTTGCTGATGCCTTTTTGGATTAATCTTCAAAGTGCTATTTTATATTGATCTTTTTACATTGATCTTTTGGAACATTGTTTTTGCTTTTAAGAACTTTTAACCTTTTATTTTTAATAAACTATCAAGACTTCTGGCTGTGTGCAGTTTGGTGTTTTCAGCAAGGGGAATCTACTCTGAGGTGCAACAGATTTTCCTTTTTTATGAAGCACTTTACAACAGATTTGTGCAAATACCTAAAACAACCACTAGGTGGAGTTCAGAAAACTTTTACTCTCGCCAAATCTTCCGTGTCTTAAAAGGATCCCATTTGAGGTTGTTGTAGGGTTTTTTTGGGCTATATGGCCATGGTTTAGAGGCATTCTCTCCTGACGTTTCGCCTGCATCTATGGCAAGCACCTTCAGAGGTAGTGAGGTCTGTTGGAACTAGGAAAAGGGGTTTATATATCTGTGGAATGGCCAGGGTGGGACAAAGGTCATTCCACAGATCCCACCCTGGTCATTCCACAGATATATAAATCCTTTTTCCTAATTCCAACAGACCTCACTACCTCTGAGGATGCTTGCCATAGATGCAGGCGAAACGTCAGGAGAAAAATTGCCTCCAGAACATGGCCATATGGCCCGGAAAAACCTACAACAACCCAGTGATTCCGGCCATGAAAGCCTTCGACAATACATCCCATTTGGGGTCGGGGCCCACAGTTTAAGAAGCAGTGGACTAGATGACCCTTAGGACCCCCTTGGCTGGAGTTGTCTATTACTGTTTTCTGTCCTCTTCCTTTCTGGAGGGTCCCTAGCATTCATCTCTCAGCCGGGAGCCATAGACTTCCAGCTCACAAAGGGTCAGGTATTCCATCCGGTCGGGGATGACGATGCTCACGTAGCGACCTTTGAGTCCGTTGCAACAAATGATGCTGAGGGAGCCAGCACTGCCATTGGTGACGGTCCCACAGCTGCAGGAGGAAAGCAATTAATAAATATTATTTAAAAAATAGATGCTCAGGGTATATCTGTATTCAGTTCTTGTGGGGTTTTTCGGGCTATAGGGCCATGTTCTAGAGGCATTTCTCCTGACGTTTCGCCTGCATCTATGGCAAGCATCCTCAGAGGTAGTGAGGTCTGTATCTGTATTATTATTTCCTACTTTTGTCTCTTGACCGAGAAGCAAAGTAGATCACAAAAAGCAAACAATGCAGTTTTAAAATCTATGAAATGCAATTATTAAAATACAATTAGATGTACAAGTCAATTAAAATTCCTCAAAACACATTTTAAAATAACCAAATATCCTATTACACCCCCAGTCCTGTCTCCCTCGTAAAAGCTTTCTTCTTTAATCTATAATGAAGAACGAATGCAGTGTGATCCCACTTTAGTTGCCATGTATAAATGCAATGAGATCCTGGGAGTCGTAGTTGCACAAGGCCTTTTGCCTTCTCTGTGGAAAGGATGTATCTATCTATGTTGGAGATACAGTTTAACTGCCATGGTTCAATGCTATAGGATTGTGGGAGTTGTAGTTTTGCAAGGTTTGAGTCTCCTTCGGGAAAGATGAAGTGGGGTACAAATAAATATCATCATCATCATCATCATCATCATCTACAATGTCCAGTGTCCAGAGGAGGGTGACTAAAATGATCAAGGGTCTGGAGAACAAGCCCTATGAGGAGTGGCTTAAGGAGCTGGGCATGTTTAGCGTGAAGAAGAGAAGGCTGAGAGGAGACATGATGAGGGCTATGTATACATATGTGAGAGGAAGCCACAGGGAGGAGGAGGGAGCAAGCTTGTTTTCTGCTTCCTGGAGACTAGGAGGTAAGCAAGTTCAGCAGCTCAGGCTTTAACCTGCTGTGCCACCAAAGGGCCCATAATAAATAATAAAACTTTAGCAGCAGTGGAACTCTCTGCCCCGGAGTGTGGTGGAGGCTCCTTCTTTGGAAGCTTAAACAGAGGCTGGATGGCCATCTGTCAGGGGTGATTTGAATGCAATATTCCTGCTTCTTGGCAGGGGGGTTTGACTGGATGGCCCATGAGGTCTCTTCCAACTCTTTGATTCTATGATTCATGTATCAAGTTGATTCTGCTCAAGAATGTGGGTGCCTCACCAAACTACAACTCCCAGGATCCCAAAGACTTGGCCAAGGTGGTCCACACTATTGTTACATCTCGTATAGATTACTGCAATGCATTTTATGTGGGGTTGCCCTTGAAGACTGTTCGGAAACTTCAAGTGGTCCAACGGGCAGCAGCCAGATTGCTTTCCAGAGCGGTGTACATGGAGCACACAACCCTTCTGTTATGTCAGCTCCACTGGCTGCTAGTCTACTACTGAGCACAATTCAAGGTGCTGGCTTTAGACTATAAAGCCCTAAATCATATTTTCTCAATCTGGGGATCAGGACCCTTGGGGGGTGTTGCAAGGGGGTGTCAGAGGGGTCATCAAAGACCATCAGGAAACAGAGTGTTTTCTGTTGGCCATGGGGGTACTGTTGGTACAATTTTAGTGTTGGTGGGGTTCAGAGTGCTCCTTGATTGTAGGTGAACTATAAATCCCAGTCACTACAACTCCCAAATGTCAAGATCTATTTCCCTCAAACTCCACCAGTGTTCATATTTGGGCATATTGACAATTTGTGCCAAGTTTGGTTCGGATCCATCATGGTTTGAGTCCACAATGCTCTCTGGATGTAAGTGAACTACAACTCCCAAATTCAAGGTCAATGCCTACCAAACCCTTCTAGTTTTTGTTGGTCATGGGAGTTCTGTGTGAGTTTGGTTCAATTCCATTCGGTGGAGTTCAGAATGCTCTTTGATTGTAGGTGAACTATAATCCCAGCAACTACAACTCCCAAATGACAAAATCAATCCCCCCACAACCCCACCAGTATTCAGATTTGGGCATATCGGGTATTTGTGCCAAGTTTGGTCCAGTGAATAAAAATACTTCCTGAATATCAGATATTTACATTACGCTTCATAACAGGAGCAAAATTACAGTTATGAAGGAGCAAGAAAAATAATGTTATGCTTGGGGGTCACCACAACAGGAAGAACTATATTAAGGGGTTGTGGCCTTAGGAAGGTTGAGAACCACTGGACTAGATGGTCTCTGGGGGCCCCTTCCCAATCTGTGATTTAGAGCTCTGAAACCTGGGGGTGGTTTGCAGTGGGTTTGGAATTTTAACCCATGCCCATCTTACACGGAGCCGCATTTGCCGTAGCCGTCTTGGTAGTCCCCAACGTGGATCCGAGCCCCCTTGATCCGCTCCGAGCAGCAGTCCGAGCGGTTCTTGACCACAACGGCTCTGACGGCTAGGCGGGCGCCCAGGTCCACACTCCACCAGGGTCCCATCTCCTTCGTGGTGTGGCTGCAGGAGCCGTGGTCCCAGTCTCCATCTCGATCTCCATCCACAGCGCTCTCCGCCCGGCTGAAGACCAAGCCACGTTGCGGGAAAGTGGACGATTGGACTGCTGGACGACCCCTGGCCCAGTTCTGAGCTGTGGTCAATAGAGAGGGCAGCAGGAGAGGGACACTGGTCAAGATACAGGATCACATATGTAGTTACCAACCTTAAGTCATGCATAACAATAGAAGGCTAGAGTTGGAAGAGACCCCAAGGGGCCACCCTGCCCATTCCTATTCTGCCAGCAGATTAATCACCAGCTGCAACTGCAGTAAATCTTTGCCAAAGACAAAGTTTTGGCAGTTTAATCAATTTTCCCCATGATTTTGTGATAGAACCACTGAGGAAATGACATTTCTAATCGAGGAACAAAAATTGTATTACTTATTATTATTATTATTATTATTATTATTATTATTGTTGTTGTTGTTGTTGTTATTATCTGAAACACAACAAGATGAGTCCAAAGCAGACACTCTGCTGGCTGTTGTATTGGATCACACGTCGGACACTTCCCACATGTCTAGGACTGTGTGATATATGGTAATTTTGTCAGCGCCGATTGTGTTTAAGTGCAGGCCAAGGTCTTTATGCACTGCACCCAGTGTGCCGATCACCACTGGGACCACTTTGGCTTGTGCCAAAGTCTTTGCAGTTCACTCTTTAAATCCTTGTATTGTGCCAGCTTTTCCAGTTGTTTCTCTTCAATCCTGCTGTCACCTGGGATTGCGACATCAACAATCGAATTTGTATTGTCGAAGGCTTTCATGGCCGGAATCACTGGGTTGTTGTAGGTTTTTTCGGGCTATATGGCCATGGGCTAGAGGCATTTCTCCTGACGTTTCGCCTGCATCTATGGCAAGCATCCTCAGAGGTGAGGTCTGCTAGAACTGGGAAAAATCCATACTTTGTTTTTTAACATGATCGTGAGGTCAGGAGTCTTGTGCCCCAAAACTCTGTCAGTCTGAATTTGGAAGTCCCAGAGTAGCTTGATATGTTCATTCTCTGTAACTTTTTCTGGCTTGTTTATCCCACCAGTTCTTTGTCACAGGCAGATGGTATTTGTGGCACAAGTTCCAATGAATCATCTGAGCAACGGTGTTGTGCCTCTGCTTGTAGTCTGTCTGCGTGATCTTCTTGCAGCAGCTGAGGATGGGATCTATTGTTTCATCTGCTTCCTTGCAGAGTCTACACTTGGGATCTGTCGTCGACTTTTCAATTCTGGCTTTGATGGCATTGTTCTTGGGATGCCAGAAACAGGCCCTCTGTCGTATTCTTGTTGTTGTTGTTGTTGCTGCATTTTCTCTCCACAAAGGAGACTCAACAAATGGCCATCCAACCTCTGAGGATGCTTGCCGTAGATGCGAGCAAAACGTCAGGAGGGAATGCTTCTGGGACATGGCCAAACAGCCCAGAAAAGTCACAGCAACCCATCCAACCTCTCTTTGTAAGCTCTCCATTGAAAGAGACCCCAAGGGATTCTTACCTCCTGGGGGTGGCAAACAGCCCTCTGCCTGCCTTGGCCAGTCCAGGAGCTCAGCGGCCAGTAGCCAGGTCCAGACCAAAGCCATCCTGCAAGTGGAAGGAGGAGAGCTGACTTGGAGAAGGAGCAAGGAGCTGAATGCAAGCCAACAGTGCGATGTGGCAGCTGAAAATGCCAATGCAATTCTAGGCTGTATCAAGAGGACCAAAGTGTCTAGACCAGGCATGGGCATACTTTGGCCCTCCCTCCAGGTGTTTTGGACTTTAACTCCCACATTTCCTAACAGCTGCTGCTTCACCGTCCACTTATGACACTGAGTCCTTGATGGAGTACTTCCTCATTCTTATGCATGCTGCTGGAAGGTTTTATTACTTTGTAAATTAGCTAAATTAGCCTCTCCGCATAAAGCGGTACCTAATTTTCCTACTTGACAGATGCAACTATCTTTCGGGCTGCAACTAGACCAGTGTTTCTCAATCTTCCTAATGCCGCGACCCCTTCATACACTTCCTCATGTTGTGTTGATGCAGTTCCTCATGTTGTGGTGACCCCCAACCATAAACATTATTTTCTTTGCTACTTCATAACTCATTGCTACTGTTATGAATCGTAATGTAAATATGATATGCAGGATGTATTTTCATTCACTGGACCAAATTTGGCACAAATACCCGATATAATTTGAATACTGGGGTGGGGGGATTGATTTTGTCATTTGGGAGTTGTAGTTGCTGGGATTTATAGATCTCACCTACAATCCAAAGCAGCCACATCAGGGCCATGCAAATATTATCGTGCACTATTACCAATCATAGAGCATTCTAAACTCCACCAATCGAATTATTGCAAACTTGGCACACAGAACTCCCATGACCAACAGAAAACACTAGAAGGGTTTGGAGTGGAGTTGTAGTTCACCTACATCCAGAGAGCACTGTGGACTCAAACATGATGGATCTGGACCAAACATGGCACGGATACTCAATATAGCCAAATGTGAACACTGGGTGGAGTTTGGGGGAAATAGATTGACATTTGGGAGTTGTATTTGCTGGGATTTATAGTTCACCTACAATCAAAGAGCATTCTGAACCCTACCAAAGACAGAATTGGGCCAAACCTCCCACACAGAACCCCCATGACCAAAAGAAAATACTGTGGGTTGTTGTAGGTTTTTCCGGGCTATATGGCCACGTTCCAGAAGCATTCTTTCCTGATGTTCGCCTGCATCTATGGCAGAGATCCTCAGAGGTATGCAACCTCTGAGGATGCCTGTGTAGATGCAGGCGAAACGTCAGGAGACAATGCTCCAGGAACATGGCCATACAACCCAGAAAACATACAAAAACCCAGTGATTCCAGCCATGAAAGCCTTCGACAATACAGAAAATACTGTGTTTTATGATTGTCTCTGGTGACCCCTCTGGCACCCCCTCGTGACCCTCTCAGGGGTCCCGACACCGAGATTGAAAAACACTGAACTAGACTATTAATAGTCAGGAGCTCACTCCGACCCGGGCTGCCTTCGAACTCATGACCTCTTGGTCAGTAGTGATTTAATGCAGCTGGCTACTAACTAGCTGCACCACAGCCGAGTTCTTAACAACAGGCAGGCTGTTGGGAATTGTGGGAATTGAAGTACAAAACACCCGGAGGGTGGGCCAAAGTATGCCCATGCCTGGTCTAGATCAAGAGATGTCATAGTCCCACTCTCTTCTGACCAAAACAAGTTTACCTTTGGGGCAGCAATTGGGGGTCAATGGTCCTTTCTGGTTGCCACAGCATTCCTTTCCAGGGAACAGATCCAAGGCATTCCCCAAATCGAAGGCGCTTCTGCTTCAGTCCGAAGCGAAAAGGGGAGAACCCTGCAAACCTAGGTTTTTATCTTCTTTCCAGAAGGAGGTTCAAAGCAGCGGAGCCAATTGGAAAAGAATTGAGTGGCAGACTGACAGATCTTATCAAAGTTGGACTGACTTTCTTTCAAGCATGTGGACATTTCCAACAGAAAGGAAAAACCAAAAAAATGAACAAAATCCAGCTACCGGTATTTAAAAACTCTAAAATCAGGGCAGGAAATAAAGAAGATTAAAGTGTTGAGCTGCTGAGCTTGTTGACCAAAAGGTCACAGGTTTGATTCCGGGGAGCGGCGTGAGCTTCCGCTGTCAGCCCCAGCTTCTGCCAACCTAATAATAATAACAATAATAAACCTTTATTTGTACCCTGCTACCATCTCCCAAAGGACTCGGTGCGGCTTACAAGAGGCCAAGCCCAAATACATCAGTAAAACAACAACAACAACAACAACAATACAACAATAAATAAACTCGTAAACAAGCAGTAAACATTAACAATAACACCTAGCAGTTCGAAAACATGCAAATGTGAGTAGATCAATAGGTACCGCTCCGGCGGGAAGGTAGCGGCGCTCCATGCAGACATGCCAGCCACATTACCTTGGAGGTGTCTATGGACAACGCCGGCTCTTCAGCTTAGAAATGGAGATGAGCACCACACCCCAGAGTTGGACACGACTGGACTTAATGTCAGGGGACTACCTTTACCTTTACCTAAATAAAGAGGAACACTCCAAAATAGAATAATTCCAGACAGGGATTATTCAGGGCCAACTAATCGCCTCCAAACAAAGGATCCCCCCCCCAATCAGCAACCATCCAGGGTTTGAAGCTGCAAGTCCATTCAATGCTAATCAAAGTGGCCATTTGCAACATTCACACCTACCTCAAGCAGACAAGAGTTCTTTCTCCCAGCCTGGACATCATTCCACAGATAGATATACCCTGTTTCCCTAGTTTCCAATTGACCTCACAACTTCTGAGGATGCCTCACAGCAACTCAGTGATTCCAGCCATGAAAACCTTTAATGACACAGTGCACTTTTTGCACATTACATTTGTCAGCAAATACTTTTTTTGTTTTCAGGATTTAAAAATGGAGGGAGCATTAGATTTGGTGATATATGAGACTCAAATCACTCGACTCCTCTTGTGCCGGGAACAAAGTCCGACCCAATCTGTAGGTCAGATTGACCTGGTTCCTTGGAAACAGGAACATCATTGCAAGACAAAGGGAGTCTTTCCACCAAACCGGTCTTCTGCTCCACAGATCAATAAGCTCAGTGCCTTAGCTGCCTGCAAATTTTCCCCAACTTTTTCAACAGTTAAGCATTCAATATATTAGGCATGGTTAAGTACTGTTGGAATCTTCGTAATTTGGAATAAAGTCAGAAAAATTAGCTGTTTGAAGTGATTTCGAAGTTTTTAACTAAGGTGACTAAGGCATGGTGGTCCATGCCTTAATTACCTCAAAATTAGACTACTGTAATGCACTCTACGTTGGGCTGCCCTTGAAGACGGTTCGGAAACTACAGCTGGTGCAAAGATCGGTGGTCAGATTTTTAACTGGAGCAAATTAGAGCGGTCAACCTTCCTGTTTAAACAGCTCCACTAACTACCGATAAGTTTTCGGTCCCAATACAAGGTGCAGGTCATCACCTATAAAGCCCTAAACGGTTCAGGACCTGCCTATCTGCGTGACCGCCTCCTCCCTTAGGAGCCCACACAGTCCTTAAAACCTTCTGGGGATGCCCTTCTCTCGCTCGCACCCCCATCTCAGGTACGGTTGGTGG